GGTTCACCCCAGTGCCAGGTCCTCCCACCGCTGCTACAAACTGCGACATGCACATGGGTGCCTGATGTCAGAGGATAGAGCTGTCAATGCTAAAATTTGCTTTTCTAGCTAGACAGGGAAGGGAATTAGTCCTGACGTCTCCAAGAACCAGCAACGAGGTGGTTCCCATCACACCTTCCCCACACGAGAGGTGGATATTGGGGCTTCTTGCAACGGAGGATGAGGTGACACCGTGCTTACCGCAGAGTGGCAGCCAGGGGATAGGAATGCTGCTCAGGAAGGTGAATAGGATCACCACGAACATGAAGAACAAGAGCAGGGGCCTTTTTGCACAAGAAGAGGTGCATTTCCCTGCTTCTGCATGGCCGGGCAGGAGGGTTTTCTCAATACAGCTACACTCGTAATAGACCTAAGAAAGAAAGGTCAGAGGGTGGTTTGTCAGGGAGAGCACTAAGAGTGTCAAAGCTTTAAAAAGAAAGAAATTCAGGGAGGGTAGAAAACAGCTGGTTTTACTACTGGAGTGAAGGGAAGCAGGAATCAAGCTGCATTCCTGACACACCTCTGTTTCAAAACACGTAATTAAATAAGAGAAATTAACTTTGCCAGGCAGCCCTTGAACGCCAAACATCATCATTACTCTTCTCAGTCTTTGCCTGTTTCTATGGGTGCTGTGCTGGAAGGATGTGGAGGTGCATCATGTTCATTGAAGATCCAAAGCAAGCACCAGGACAGGAATTAGGAGCCCACTAACCTCCCCTGCCTGCCTGGGTGATTTACCACGGATTTCAGTGTAGTTTGACCCAGAGCCAGGCAAAATCCAAGTTGGGCACATTGAGGGAAGCAAAGCAGGGTGACCTCAGGGTCCCTTCTGCCTTCATCCCAGGTCGTGCCTGAGAACATCCATCCTGCACCGGGTTTTTACACTGATCTGCAGCAAAGCACAACCCTGCAGACACTTTTGTCCAGCCAACCAAAACACACCAGAGAAGAAGGGTCACTGCCTTGTTAATATACAGTGCTTTCAGACATACCTTCTTGCCATTCCTGAGGTTTTCGGACACTTTTCTGCATCCAGCGTGGCAGGGGGAGTAATACATAATGTCATCACTCCCGCAGACAGGGCTGTAGGTCTCCTGTAGGCAGCCACACTTGGCGTTGCAGGCTGCTGTCAGGTTTAGGTGGCCACCAGGCAAAGCACTGAGGAAAACACAGGAGCAGTCAGTGGGGAGACACTGAACATCATCTTCCAGGAGGAAATGGGTAAAGCAGATGAAGGGGGAATGGTAAGAGATGTGGTGGATCCCCAAGCAGCATAAAGCCAAGCTTGGGAAGGGTTTCACCTCATCCAATTTTAACCATGAACCTGAAACATGCCCTGGAGCTGTATCTTTCCCACATCTACAAAGGGAGTTTAAGTGACCAGCTCACATGGAGACATCTCCATCTGAAGATTCGATTCCCACTTTTAGTCCAGTTTATCTGGATAGAGATGGGAAAATTGTTATTACCTTCCCTCGTACATCTGGGTGACTCCTGCCATCGGCATGTTGGGGCAGTGAATGAAAAAAATGAATATAGCCAGCAGACTGGACACTGTGCAAAGTAAACACAACTTGATGATTCCTGAACAGCGGAGTTTAAATTTATTCACAAGGAATCCTCCCAGGAACGTGCCTCCCCCTCCAGCAGGCACGACCAGGTAACCTGGAAAAAAGGAAAGATAAAGTCAGTCCTTCAGTTCAGACATTCCTCATTAGAGGAAACTTAGTTAATTTAGTTACATTTAGTTAGTGTTTCCTGGTGATGCACTAGAAAGAACAGACTACAGTGATTTTGCCTTCCTCTAGAGGGTAACAGATGGCTACAGAAGTGACACATTTCTTCCTGATGCAGTAGATACAGCTCTGAAAATGCACTTGGTACAGATGTGCTGATGGGAACCGATCCTATCTCATAGCTGAAGATGATAAGCATCTGTAAATGAACTGCAAAGCGTGTTTGTCTCCATTCTAAATGGCCTACAGTGCTCTTCTACTTATAAGGAAAATGGGAAAACACTGCAAAAACCTGGTTTTCTTACCAAAAAAGGTAGCAGCTTCAGAGGCACTTAAACTAAACTGAGACTCCAGGAACTTGGGTCCAAATGTGGACATCCCAGCAATGAGGGTGGCTTCGGTCGCTCCTGCTAAGCAGAGGAAGATGAAGGTGGGGTTCTTCAGAAGCAGCAGTACTGACCTGGGAAGGACAAATACACTGGAATTGAATCACTGGGAAATATTTTGATTCTGGGTCTGTCCCCCATCTTCAAATCAAAAGAACTACATGTAAGATGAGGCAGCATCCCACCACAGAAAGAAAAATCCAAAAGGGAGTTAACTGCAGTTTGAAAGAGCAGTGGGTTTCTCCACTGAGGCTCATCAGGTCCTACCAGCCAAGGGAGGATGCTGAGGACACCCTCACCTCTCCCTGTGTACCTGCATGGAGCAGATGTTGGTGCTCTCAGGGAGACAGTCTCCATTGCTGGTGATGATCAACAGTTTATCCTTGAAAATCTGCTTTTATGTGTAACATCTCTCATGTCCCAACCTGCTCTGGCTCTTGTCCCTACTGGGTGTTGTCCTGACCACCTTCAGGAGCTTAACAGACATGTTTACCCTGGCTGTCATTTATAGCTACAGCCCACCACCAAGACAATCTGAGGAACATCAACCAAACGCTGAAAACAGGAGCAAATAATCTGGTACTTTCTCTGTGGATCTCATGAGGGCACCAGATGGGTCTGTATCTCATGTGCATGTTCAAAATAGGGATTGGATACCAGCAGTGTGTGTGTGTGACGTAACTCACACTCAGGGCACCCACAATTTCTGTACACATGATTTCATTTTTCCAACTCTTAGGGTCAGGCTGAGTATTTTCTATCCCTAAATGGGGCAATACCAAAAGGACACTGGTCCTCACCAATGTCAACCATTTCAAGGTTTTTTCAGCCCCTGACGGCAGTTATCTTGGGACTCCTTAAGAACAGGGAACAAAGCTGTGCCACATACTCACGTATGCACATCCTACTCATGCACGCCCCTGTCCTCGTGAGAATAACAACCTGTGATAACCATGGATGTTTTGCAGCTTGAGGGAAATACCACGCAAGCCTTTTTATATGGAGGAAGCCTCTCCAAGACACCTTATATCCTACTGGAAAACAGAAAGCAATCTTTCTCCCACCATCTAAGCACAGTTTTACTTGAAGATTAATGTATACATTTTCTTCTTGACTTACTGGGATTTAGCAGAGAGCCATAGATATGCCTGAAAAATTGCCATGTGTCATTTATATGCAGAAAGATGATCCAGCAACGATTCCATCTCTGAGACACAGAAAGGCCCTCGGGCACACAGGATGGTCTCAATTATCTTTCACTATCTCGGATATTGGACTAAGGAGGTTGACGCTGCTTTCCAGGGAGCATTTTGTAACACTTGAAATTCGGCCACGTGACTTTCCCCAAGTCAGCCTGGAGCAGTACCACAGATCACCCCATTTCTGAGACAGGCAGCGATGGGGATGCAGGGGGATGCTCGGTGAATTGAAAAGCACAGTCACTTTCCATCTACTGCTTTGGAGGAAATGTGAAACCAGAGAAAATCTACTGTAGTACAACCAAGTGTGAGACGTGCTGAGGCTCAGCATCAGATTTATGCAACTTGTAAAGTGGAGTATTTCATTATACCAAAATAATAAAGAAGCTGAAAGACAGAAATACCAGGCTTTTCTACACCTTGATTACAGGAGGCTTCATACTACCCACTGTCTAGCTGTTGGGATTAGTTTCATTTACTAAACTAAACCAGGAACAATCTTTTTGACTGTGCTTTATTTGGAAGCGCAAAGCCTAATCTCTCTTAGTAAGAAAACACTTCTTGCAGACCTCGTGGCCAACATAGAAGTGGTCCAACGCCTTCGTCTTTTTACAATAGAAAAGAGAGAGGAGTTGTTCCCTGGCACGAGCGTGACTTTGTGCCTGTTGACTGAAGGCTACAGGATAAACCTGCAGGTAGGAAAGTGGGAAGGAGCTCCTTTCAGAGTAACAGCAAGGATTTACTCAGTAATTTAATCTATTTGTAGACAGAAGAGGCAGTTGCAAGGAGCTATGGCATATAAAGCCCTACCAAAGTCAACACAGACCTTTTCACTGCTATCAGTAGGGTTTTCATCACACCCAGAAACCACCTAAGTCTTGAATAGTCTTGACTGTCCTCAGTTCTTGCAGGGATCTGAGTGCTCTTTCCCCATGTGATGATGCTGCTGAGTAGGTCGGGACCACCTGTACAACCAGGACCTGCTCCTCTGAGGAACACTGGCATGCCCAGGACACTGGGCCGCCAGACTGTGACACAGTACGGCCACAAGCTACTGAATCAATAACGATAAATGAGTCAATAATGATAAATAGGTAGTCATGCAATCTTAGAGCATGTGAACAAGGACTTTTCCAGCACGCAAAAATGACACCTCCTGTCACCACCACCGCGTACATCCCCCAGGAATGTAAACCATCCTCCCTTTCAAATGCACAGAAGCTGAAGTAAAGCCATGAGACAAACCGAAGCCCCACCCTGCCACCTAACCCAAGAGAGACGAGTGAAATATTGACCACAACTTCTCATGCTGAAGCTCAGGGCTTGACAGACCGGTGAGCGATCCTCACAAACCCCATCCTGCAGCTTCCTAGGACAAAGCCTCCTCTCCTGGCACAGCTCTGTGTGTCTTCTGTTTGAATCCCTCAGCACTGACAGCAGGGGTTATTTCACGAGAGCAATCACATGGAACCAGAGAGAGGAAAATGCAATTTTATCAGGCCTTTTCAACCCAAGAATTAAGACAGAAGTCTCTTCAGGGCAGAGGATTAAGCTGCATGGGCTGCATTCCTGTAAGCTCCTGCTCTTAGGCTGCACTGTGAATACAGCAATTCATTAAGCTCACTTAGAAAGGACCTGATGGCATGGAAAAGTATTTTATTTCATCAGTATTTCTGCTTATCTTTGCGAGACTCTTACTGTCTGTACTGTGAGAAAATGCGTAGATCCCTCCCTAAAACAAAAGCAGCAGCGTCCCTTGGCCTGGCTTCCCAGCCTGGTCCACGTGTCCCCAAGAGCTGCACGCACAGATGCAATCTCCTCTTCAATGCAAGTTTCCAGAATAGCAACCCTTTAAGGCACTTCCCTTTCAGTAATCAAAAGCAGGGAACACCACAGCCTGTTGGGTTTTTTCTTTTCAAGCAAAAACCACACTAAAGCCTGGATCGATCTGAATTGTTTGATGGGTGCTGCCCACCTTTGGATACTTCTTCGTCAAGAACGAGGGGTGAAAGAAGATGCTCCCAGGGGAGGGCTGTCTCCAGACCCATTGCTCAGCTCACCCAGCAGCAGAGGGAGCTTTGTTCCAGGTAAGCAAGGAAAGTATCAACCACTGCATTTCAGCCCTCTCTGCTACCCTGCTTGTGCTGGTTTTAGTCAGAACCTTATCGTTATTTAAATGCAGGTTTTTGAATTTAATTTCCGTGCGCAGAAGAAGCCGCGACCTCGGAAAATGGCACCCAGTCAAGAATGCCATTTAATAACAGTATTGAAATCTGTTCAATGTAATATTCTTCATAAAACTGCCTTAACCCCTGGTAAACTTCCTATGAAGTCTCCAAGCATTTCAGAGCGATGTGAGCAGTTGCATTGACACAACACAGAGCAACCGCTGCTGAAAACTCCCGTATCGAGCACCTGCTTCAACCCTCCTCTGCCAGCATGATGGCAAATACCACAATTAAAGCTCCGAATTAATCGCTGGCAGTGGCACAGGGTTTGGCAGCATTGAATGTTTGCCTTTGCATGGGGCAGCCATCACACATGGACACAAACTCCTCCCTAAGAACAGTCCTGGGAGAAATACGAAAAAGAAAAAATCCCTTATTGACTGCAAGCTCAAAGGGAATTGATACCCAGGTACTTGCAACATCCACAGCTTGCACAGCAGCTAAACCCCAGCTGCAAATAAAGCAGCGCCTCTCCCCCTGCCCTCCACTGAAATACAACTCAACACACACACAAAAAAAAAATCATAAAATATTTCAAAGATCCATAGCAAATGTTTCCAGGTTAAAAGACTGCCTTTTATTTTCGCCACTTGCTTTGTTCCCACCCAGATCTCTTTAAACCACATCCTACCAACCCTTCTTTGGTGCACTCGGAGCCAAGCAGCGGCTTTAAGATTATGTGTGCTGCTGTGGCACTGCTTTGAGGAGAGATAAGAAGTGGCAACACATAAAAAGTGGCTGCAAGATGCAAAGGCAAAGAAAAGAAACTAAGAACAAAAGCGAATGGGAACTGAAAGCTACAGTGCAGGATATCTTGTTCCCTAGATTTGGAATGGAGCTATAGGAGTCAGAGGTTTTGTTTCCTTGCTTTTATCAAAAGGACAAAACAGGGATCTAACACAAGCAGAAACAGAGGAAAGGAAGAGAAGCCCCGAGGGGATGGGGAGGAGGTGATGTTGAACAGCACCCAGTTGAGCCAGGTGAGGCCAGACCCAAGCAGACAGAAGAAATCATGCCGCAGGGAGAGGGAATGAGATGGCAATGCCCATGCATCTCCTGTCACATAAAGGCTGGTACCAAGTCACTCTCGGTGAAACTCAGAGTGTAATACATGAGGTAGGTGAATTTTCACACGTGGACGTGAGCTTTTGCAAGCCACAGACAGGACCAGCACCTTGTCCCCTGCTCTTCCATGCAATTTCTAGCACCATTTCTAGTTCAGCCCATGTACTGAGAGCCCCTGGTGGGAACAGACACTTTGTGAAAAAGCATCATTTTGGCAATGGGCAAAACCTGTTAGCCAGCATCCTAAAAAGCAAGCTCAGTTTGGAGGGGCATCACTCTCACTGCTGGAGAGGGCTCCCTGACCCTCAGGTGTGAGGGGGTTCTCACCGAGGCAGATCTTTAACAGTTTTCCCAAAGTCCGGATCCGATGCTTTTTTGTGGCTCCCATCTTTCAGCTGATGAGCCTCTGACACCCTCATGACAATGTACCGCTGGGACCCTGCAAATGAAAAGCAAGAAGCACGTGAGATATGAGATGCTCCACCGAAACAGTGAATTTGCAAGGGGGGGGAAATGCACCGCAACATCCTCCCTCCACTAACGGCTGCAAGGGGGGAGCCAGGAAAGGGGCAGCTAGAAAGCCACGGGGGGGAAATCCACGTAGGAATTACAATTTAAGCACTGGAAGCTCTTCCTCTGCCTCATCCCCAGCTACCTGCATGTGTAAGGATGCGACAACCAGCCCCAATTTCCTGAAGGTACCTGGGAGGCGCTGGGGGTACCCCAGGATGGGGATGGAGATGAGGAGGGAGGCTGCTCCAGCCCCAAGGAAGCCGATCCACCATGCCCCCACCCACAGTGTGTTCTCCGGGGCGATGTCAATCCTGCAAGAAACAAAGCCAAAAGGAGAGAAGGGAGAGAGGGGGCGGTTGGGACCAGAACAGGACAGCTCGGTGTACCCCTTGCTGGTGTCGGGGGGATATGGCAGGGAGGGACGGCAGCAAAGGAAACTGAGTTCTGGCCTCTCGCATGGCATCTGCTGGGGATTCCACATCCACCACCCCTCCTGCCACACCAGAGAGAGCACAACACTCGATGAGCCTGGGAAACTCCAGCATTTCATTCTCCTTTAAACTCTGGCTTGCGCATTCACCTCTCCCCACTTCATTCATGCTCTGGGGGTAGCGAGGATCCTTGTTCCACTGCAGAGCCACTCTTTGCAAGAAAACCAGTGGAAATAACCCATTCTTTCCCCTGGAAACCAACTCCCCCTTTTTAACCCATTCACCTACCACAGAGCCTGTAAAGAAAGAAGAATTCATTACAAATATTAAAAAAGCAAGGAGGGACTAAGCATCCTGGCTGGATGAGCAGGAGGACGAGCAGCCCTGCTGGTAGCATTGCCTCATCAGGGAACTCATTCAAAAAATTCACCTGCTGCTCGTAGCCTCATTAGCGCAGGCAGCGCGGCGTGAGGAAGGATTTAAGCTGACAGCAATTTTCTTCCAGCAACAGCACTAACACAAGTTGCCCTTCCAGCCTCACCGCCCCCACCCGCACTAACACCACAGGCACATTTCCACCCAGCCGTCAGGTCATTTCTCCAGTTTATTATCATTATTATATTTTTTTTTTCACCCCAAAGGAAACAGAATAAACAAAAAGGAACAAGATTATTTTTTAGCAACTTACTCTCTGCCAATTTCAGTATAAATATTTAGAAACATTCCTCCTACCAGATAACCCGCTGCAGGCCCAAGGATTGCAGCAGTGTAGAAAACAGCTGAAAGGGAAAACAAGACGTGTAAGAGAAACAGCAGCATTTCAGCCTGGGAAACTTTTCGCATCCAACCTGGGAGTTTTTATGCTATGGGGCAGGCAAAATCAGTTCATTGGAAAACCATTTTTTATGTAGTTACTGATTTAATATTTAGCAGGGATGTAGCTGACTTCGTTGCCACATCCCAACTGCTGGTGCAATGAGCAGTGGCGTTGTGTCCCCACTGACAATATGCAATGTCTATGCTAAATGTGGGACTACCAGAACTTATGTTGGTTTGCTGCCATGAAAAGATAATCAATTTACTAATCCCAGCGTTGTAATCTCCTTTCCCTGCACAGCCTCTGATACAACTGTATGGGCAGACATAGCCCATTGCTAAATTCTGAAATTGCTCAAAGGCCACTCCTTTCAGCAGTGTCACCAAATAGGACTGTGTTTGCTAAGTGATCAGTGACACAGAGGAGTGCGATGAGGCTCTGCTCCTGGCCAGGAGCAGGAGGCACCCCCTGATCTGCAGGAGCGAGCCCAGCTGCCTTTACAGCACCTGCCTGTAAATAACCAAACCCTCCCCAACAGCTGCCGCTCCCCTCCAATTACCATAATACCCCTCATTGGGAACAAAAGGCCAGGAGCAGCTCTCATGACACTGCTCAAGGTGGCCTCTCTGGTGCCAAGACAGAGGGACTGGCTCAGCCCCCATCATCCAGCCCATGGGCTCGAGCTGTCCCTCCAGTTCGACTCACCAATGTACACAGGAGAGTAGTTGGTCTTGACGTTTTCATCTAAATAGGTGACGCCGAGCGTGTAGAGCGGCGTGGCTCCCATCCCGTGCAGGAACTGCCCCAGCATGAAGACGAATCTGTAGCTGGAGAGGCTGGAGGCCGCCTGGGCACAGGGCAGACTCTGGTTCCCCCCGCAGATCCCCACCTCCGCTGCTGAATGCGCCTCATACTGTCCTGTGGTGAAGTGGGGCAAGGCGAAGAGCAGGGAGCCCAAGCCCATCACCAGCACACCCCAACCCAGCCATCGCGGTTTGTGGCCGTTCCCCCCAAAATAGCTGACGAAGGTCAAGCAGACACAGGCCGCAATGTCGTAGGAGCTGGCGATCAGGCCGCTCTGGTAGCTGCGGAGGTCGAAGCGTCGCTCGATGGAGGTGATGACGGTGTTGATGAAGCCATTCACCGTCATGCCTTGCAGGAAGGAGGCCACGCAGAGGAAGAACAAGACACCCTTGGACGTGTTGAAGAGCTGTAAGCACCCAGGGGTGAACCCCCCCCAGCCGCAGGCCAGTTCCTCCCCTTCGGACGACACGTATTTAATCCCTTCGCAGAATTGGGTTTCCTCCTCTCCCGGGGTGGTGGTGGAGCAGAGGGGTTCGGCACATGAGTCAGAGGGGCTGGGCACGCCAGAGGATGTGGTACCGTTGCTCAGCGGGGTACCACACGCATCCTGCCCATTTGGGGTGCCAAAGGGCCGGCCAGCCTCACTGGCATGTGGAGACGGGCGGGAGAAGTCGAGCGTCTGAGCGAAACAAAAGCCATTTTCTCCAGTTGAATTCTGGGGCATTGCCATGAACGGGGACACGGAGGCGAGCAGCAGGGTGTGGGGCTGGTGGCTGGGGTGGCTTTGTGGGAGAGCAAGGACTTGCCCACCTGGGAGATGCAACTTTGGGCACTTACATCAGTAGGAAGATGGCAAAGGTCGGCACTAAGACCATTCTGATCTGTGAAGAGAAAATTTTTACACTTCTTTATATGAAACCATGCCCCAAACCCCCAAATATTATTCCTTTTGTAGAACACTTCTGGTTTTTTAATAAGTATTAGCCTTCCTCTGTGCAGTTCAGCTGGATGTGTGCCCTCCACCATGGGGTGTGCTGGTACCTCAAGTATTGGGGCACTGTTAACATTACAAAAAAGCACAAAACATTCAATAGCATTTAAAAAAGCACCTCTAAAGGCAGTCTCCTGATCAGCTGGAGCCCTCCTCTTGAAGAGACCCTCAGCAGACGCCGGACCCTCACAGCCTCTGTCCCTCTCCTCCTCCCCGCAGAGCACGGTGAGCACAGCTACAAGTTTCCCACTGTTAAAAGTCCTTTGGTCTCTCTTTCACACCCTGCCAATAACAGTTTATAATTATCCCGAAAAGTTTCCACAGTCAGATTGATTTTATTCCAAGCCCTCAGATCTGTTTACAACTATTCAGTAAAATCCTTTCTATAACTAATTAAACTCCATGGCATTTCAGCGTGAGCTGGAGGGCAGAGGCAGCTGACTCTAACCTGATTACTGATGCAGACTGCCTCCCCTCAACTCATTCCTGTGCATCTCAGCACCTGATCATGCCCAAAATCAGGAGTATTTTTCCTTAAATGCCTTGGCCGAACTAGAAATACAAAAAAACCCCTCAAGTTCTCCCTTAAATGCTGGGCTTAAATACACAAAAAACACTAGGCAAGAGCTGTTCTATGAGAGAGCATCTTCAAAGCATCCTGTATTTCCCGCTATTTTCTGCCAATATCTGTTCAAGAGGTTCCTGTAAATGTTCCTCCTAAGATGGTAAATCAGTCTTATCAAGAGGGAACGGGAAAAACGGGCATTTGTTTTCCCACTAAGGTGAGCCCTGTTCAGATCACTGCAACCTGGGAACACTGCAGCCTTTGGTGAACAAATTAATACTCATCTGTGTGTTGCTGGAAAAACTGACTGACACTTGCTTGGTATAGAACGGTGTGCACAAGCAACTCCGGCGTTCCTCTGGGTAACTCCTACTTTACCTGACTGAGCACAGTGCAGGGTAACCTTGATGCGTAACATGTAAATGCAAAAACTAACTGCAGACATCGCAATTTTGCTGCAGAGACAGATTGTTGCAGTACGGTGGCACAAAGAGATAAAGCCTCCTATGTAAGACCGTATTTTTTTTTACTTTTTCATCACCCCAATGTTCTTAAAACTCTCACAGCTCTAAATCTGTTTTCTCACCTTTGGATGCAATATCGGAAAGAATAAATAAGGGTGCTTTAGCATTCTGTAAAGTTGGAAGTGATTATTAGGCACTTGATCTGGCTCTAAGGGGGAACTGGTCCTGTTCCCCCAATGTAAACCAAACACACCTCCTGAATCACAGAATCCTAGGAGTTGGAAGGGACCTCGAAAGATCATCCAGTCCAATCCCCCTGCCAGAGCAGGATCACCTAGACCAGGTTGCAGAGGAACGCATCCAGGCAGGGCTTGAATGACTCCAGAGGAGACTCCACAACCTCCTGCATGGGCACCCAGCTGCCTTCAGACACACACTCCCCATATCCAACATCAGCCTGACGTTATGTTCAAAGGCTGCTTGGCCAGGGACTGATTTTGCTGTCACTGATTTCAGAAGGTAGAAAAAGCCCACCTCTGTTCACTGATGGGACCAGAAGCCACAAGCTCCCAAATTGGCACACCCTCCCCCTGGAGGAAACGATACCTCTTGACCTGCACTGGGATATCTCCTTTGATATTTCATTAACAGATACTGATATTTTGATATTTTATGAGTCAGGAAAGAGAGTAAAGCTCTTCTTTCAAGTTTTCCTTGAAGCAGCTGGTGTCTGTGCCACTCCCCCAGGTGACCACATCATCCTCCCCTTCCACTTTGGTTACCCCGAGTCCTACTTTGCAGCAAACACAGAGTGAAGCATCTCCAAGAAAGCAACCGGTCTGTTCTTCAAGCAGCAGATGTTTCCCCATGCACAGAAGCCTCCTCTGCCCCCAAAGCCCCCATCCTGGCCGTCTCCCAATGGACCTGGACTAACGACTGGGACCCAGGTGCTGCAGGCAGGAAGCCCATCCCTGCTGCCCACCGAGCTGCTTCTCATCTCTTACCGTATTTATAAACCGGCAGTGACACATCCGTGGGGAATATCAGCTTTCATAGGAGCCATATGCCACTTTAGAGGACAAAACATAATCTTCAGAGGAAAAAAAAACCAACCAACTTCATGCACTTCCTAATCACCCCTATTCATCTGAGCCATCCATTTATTGCTTCCCATTCATCTCTGGTTTTAATGACTCAGCTGGCGATTTCTTGCTTGCATCAAATCAGTCCCAATGCTATTATCTCCCAGCTACAGATTTACTCATTTTGCTGCAAGATTTTACGTCAATTTTTCTCAGCTGTACAGCTGGTTCCAGGCTGCCAACATTACAACTGAAGTAGCAAGGCAATGAAAGCACACGATTTGTATTTTGTGATGAAATTTGTAGACTCCCCTCCAAATATTTAGCATTAATAGTTAAGCGTACAAGCTTTTCATCAGGTGATCATTTAAAAAATTCACAGGACCAATTAAAGACATTTTGCATCTCTGCTGAGGACTGCTATTAATGTTACAAATTAACTCATAACTGACATGCAAAATAATTGTATTTGCTGAAGCATGCCCAGTAAGAGTTATTCTTCCTTTTCACTCTATGGCTTTTGGCTTTTATAGGGCATTATTGTGGCAAATAACATCTATTCATAACTTCTGCTTTCCATAGCTGAGCAGTTTATGGGCAGACTTAATGATTTTTCCAATTCTATGGCACATACAGAGATATTTGCTAAGAAACAGGAACAGGGGATTAAAAAACTGATCAGAAAATGTACTGCAAACCAGGGAGGAGCAGCCCCAGGTGTTGCTTGGTGGCTGCCCAGATGTGTGAGTGCGCCTGACCTTGCTAAACAGATACCCCGAGTTTAGGAAAGTCCACTTTCAAGTACCAAGCTCATGTTAATCTACAAACGGACAAATTCATCTGGGTTTGTCCATTTAATTTCTCTCGGTAACACATACTGAATTTTTCTCAGATAGTTTGGCTTCAGAGGATTATCAGTATTACTTCTGCTGCGGCTGATAAACACCATACGGATCAAGTGCAATCCACTCACTGGTTTAGGAAGGGGAAAACCTCCCAGAAGTGAGATAAATCCACGAACCAGTCCTGTGAACCAGTCCCCTGTCCTCAGGGTGCTGGTTCAGTTAAAAGGGAGATAAAAGCAAGCACGGCACGATGGGGTTGTTCATGTGCAACACTGAATTGCTTTCCTGGCAACGAGGAACTTCACGAAGCGCGAACCTTGCATTTTTTAGGATGCTTTTAAAAAGCATCCCTTTGGTTCAGCGATACGGAGGATGCTGCAATTCCTGGGAGCGGCACTGGGACCAGCCTGGAGCCTTTCATAAGCAGTTCCTACAGGAACAGCATCGTCCTGCACGCATGGAAACATCTCAGGAATGAGAAACACCCCTAAAGCGCAGCCAGCTGACACTGCTCTTGTTGGAGATGTGTTTTTACATGATTACCCCCACCAGAGTCTGAAGCATGGAAGAGAGCAGTAGAAACTGGCTTTATATTGTCACATGAGCAAAGACATTTATAATTAAAGGAATTCCAAATAGTAAAGCCTAGCACTCGCAAATCCTTTGTGTGTTTTCCAAACACTTCCCATTTGTTGGCAAATTAATGCAATAATACGCAAGAAATCATGAAGGTGGCTTGGATAATTTTCAATTAGCTGCTTGAAAGTGCTTTGAAGATAAATCTAGCCAGATTTTCTGAGCTTACTTATTTGTTCCAGCTTATCTGCGCAAATACAATTGGCTGCAGCTGCCTTAGACCATCTTGAAAAACTTGCAGTGCCAACGCACAAAGCAGATTTAACCGGGCCACTATAGTCTGCTACAGCAAAGATTAGCCAGACAAAAGGCTCTTTTATGCTAAAATACCCAACTCCCTCTCCATAACGTCACTCTTGCTTTAGTATCTTTTTCCTACCCATAAGTTTGATCGATTACAAGAAGGTTTTCATGCTCTCCAGCCACCGCTACCACCCATGGAGCCGGGTGGCTTTGCGGCTCTCCCAGCACAGCTACACCACCAGCATTTCTCCCAAAATCTAGCCCTGCCCACAGCATACGGTTATTTTCCATCATTTGGATTCTTACAACCCAATTCAGGATGTTTAATATTCAGGATAATGTTTCTGCATGAGTCATTAGTCAGCTTTTCCCAACAGTTACCAGTTAGTTCCTATATATACCTTTATATACCTATATATATACACCTAGATATACCATTGTTTCCATGCAGAAGATGCAGATTCAGGCAAATTCTCTATGGTATAAGAAATTAAACAAAACGAGCAAAACCCAAATAAAGAACGTAGGAAACAATTCTTTGCTGGCAATAAAAATAGAAAAAATGCAACACAATGCAAGGACGCTGAGTACAGGAAAAAGATAAATGAATAATGCTAACATCTACCATGGTTTACAGGAATTCACTCTTTTTTATCCTCCTGGTTTGATCAGTTTGAAGGGAAAAACAAAAAGGGAAAAACAGAGGAAACTTTGGAGAAGCCATACCACAAATAGATGGATTTGGCAGAAATAATATGAGGCACTTCTGTTGTAGGTGGTGTGTTTAATATTATACAAAATTTGTGCATCCTCCTCATAAACAGAGGGCAACAGTCCTTGCTGGAGCAGCAAAGGCTTCCCACGGGCCTTTCTCTTACATGGCTGCTGGATAATGGGCTTTTGA